GACATTAGGACTAAAAGAAGATTAGCAACCTGCAATATAGCACCACCTTGCATGCGGAAAGTGAAGAGGACTTGAAGCCTTTACGGATGAGGATCAAAGACTACAACCTTCAGTGTGATTACAAGTCCACATAAAGAAAACATAAATTCCTCACAAGGGAATCAGCACGCAACATCGTGATGAAGAAAATACTGGTGTCCTCAAGCATGTCCTTTTACTCGGTTCCACAATCAAGCACGTGGATGAAGCAGCCAAGAAATCTAATGACATTGGTCAAATCCGCTGCAAAAGACCTCTTTAAAGTCTTAAAAACACCAAGCTGTCACTTTGAGGATTGTGACCCAATCCATGGTGGTTTTCATCACCTCCTCTGTATGGGAAACCTGGACAGTGAATAAATGCAGTCAAAGCAGAATTGATGCATTTGAATTATAGTGTTGGTGAAAACTATTAAATATACCATGGAGGGCCTGAAGGACAAACAAACCTGTATTCGGAGTACAGTCACACACACAAAAAGAAGTACAACCAGAATGCTCCTTAGAAACAAAGATGATGAGACTCTGTCTCACGCACTTTTTATCTGTTATTAAGATGGACATTGTGCGTGGTAGAGGGTCAACAAAAAAGAGGAAGCCTCCCAATGAGATGGCTCGGCACAATGGCCGCAGCAATAGCTCCAACATAGCCACGCTTGAGCAGTTCGTGCAGGACTGGGCAGAGTTTCTTTCTGTGGCACATGGGATGGCTATGAATTGGCACCCAACAACAACATAACCTCGTCAAAGAGCTCTGGTGACACAACAGTTAAGCATTTGGTCTCTCCCAAAAGGTTGCTGGCTCAACTCCACCAGCCGTTCCTTGGGAGAAAGAGGTGGCAGTCTGCGTCTACGGGCATTACAGTCTTGGAGCCCCTGCCCGGTTGTTCTACTCCCTCTGAAGAATCACTATCATTTGACCTGAAAAGAGGGAGATTACCTTGGATTATCGGGGTGTGCCCAATGTAATCATAAAACTCCTTAAAAGTGGAAGACGGGAGAGCAAGTCAATGACAGGAAAAAGACTCAACCATGCCCTACTGGCTCTCACGACGGAGGAAGGAGCCACCAGCCAAGGAACGCAGGTGACCTCTAGAATCTGGAAAGGCAAGGAGACTGACTCTCTCTGCAAAGCCTCATGAAAGGGGCTCAATCCCCCACTCCCCTCCACCTTGATTTTAAACCAATTCAAGTTGGGCTTCTGACTTATGGAACTGTCAGATAAAACATCTGTGTTGGGTTTTTGTTTGTTTGTGTTTTTAATTAATAAATCATTTTATTGGGGCTCTTGCAGCTCTTGTATCTTACACTGTCCATTGTCTCCCTTTGCCCAAGTTTCTGTTGTTCATCCCCAGGGTGGGGGCTGGGGTTATTATTCATCTGCCTAGACCACATGAGAGCAAACTAAGTGGTAAAGATATTGAGAGAAAGAGAGAGGACTGAACCCTAGCCCACCAAGTCTGGAAGTTGAATTCCTGTTCCGAGCAGCCAATTCACAGAGGATCATGGGGCTGGTCCCACCACAAGACATGACACCTCCTCACGGACCCACAAGGCTACAGGGGACAGCACTGGAAACAGTGTGGGAAGTGTACCTGGTTTGACCCCCTCTCCCTCCACCGAGCGAAACATGAAGGAAGTGCAATGGAGCAGCAAGGGGAGCAAAGCAATGAAGTACCCGAGGAATCCCCAAAACAGACCTCGGAATCAGTGGGCAGGGCATGGCACTTCACCAGATCTGACTGAAAAACATTCAGAAGGGTCAGTAGACAGACCTGGGACTATTTATAGGCGCTCTCTCTCTCTTTTCTTTTTTTCTTTTTCTCATATCTGTCCATATAGGATAGACAGGATAACAATCCTGAGGATAAAGTAATGGGGCTGATGGCTCTGGGGGAGATGGCTGAGGAGAAGGTGGGAGAGGTGGGAGCCCACAAACCCAGGGACAAGGGAACAATAAGAGATCTAAAATCGTTGGCAAGGAGGGCATAGAATGCCTGGTGAGGGGTGATCGAGTGCAATGAAGTCGAGAGAAAGTACTGAGAGTTGAATGAAGGTTGAACATGATAGTGGGATAGGAGGAACATAAAAAGAAATAGAGGAAAGAACTAGGAGACAAAAGACATTTATAGAGGTCTAAAGATAGGCATGCATATATAAATATATTGGTTGGTTGGACTAGACCAGAGCATGCAAACTGGTACAGATAAGAGCTCTGGACACACGCAATTCAGGACAGATAAACCCTTCAGGAACAGTAATGGGAGTAACAATACCATGAGAGTAGGGGGAAAAGGTGGGGTGGGGGGGAGAAATGGGGACCCAACTATAATGATCAACGTATAACATCTGTGTTGTTTTATGCCTCGGACTTTGTGGTAATTTGTTAATGAAGTGTTAGAAAACTCAAATACTACCTAAGCTCTCTGAGCATCAGTTTCTTCATCTGTAAATTGGGGATTATAAACATAATGGAGACTTCCGGGAAGATGGCGATGGAGGGACACATACCAGAGGGACTCCGCAGAATTCAGCCCAGCAGAGTTGCTTAGAGGGAAATTCAAGGCTGCTGGAATACAGGAGGAGCATCATAAAGATAAGTAGGCACAGACCCACGGGGTTTTGA